GGCAGTATGGATACTATTTTTGTTTTCTTTTTCCTTTTTGAAACAAGGTCTTGCTATGTAGCCCAGACTGGTCTTAAACTCACTATGCAGTACAGGCTGGCTCAAATTTGTGGCAATCCTTCTGCCTCAGTCTCCCAAGTGCTGGGATTAGAGGTTTATACCCCCAGCTCTAGTAGTAGGGATGCAGAAAAAGACTAGATGCTACTCTTTTGGATCTGGGGTTCAAAGGAGTCCTAGCTTTAAAGTATGCATTCCAAGTGGTGAGGGCGGCTGAGTTCCACATGGGGTTTCCCCATGCTGAAAACCAAGGAGGGAGGAAGTGTTCCTGCCCATCCCCGCTGCTTCTGTCTCTGGACCCACAGCCTCCCTCAGACCCGACCCACCCAGGGCCAGCAGCAGAGCGGGAGGTGCTTGAGGACATAGAACAGAACCTCTCTTCCTGGTCCCTGCACCCCTTTCCTCAAGATCCTGTTGCCCCTTGGCCTATAATTGCTATAGGGTTTTCCTTTCTCAGCCCCTAGCATATGTCTGAGTACATAACTCAGTTGCTGGCCTGGTGCTATGCAAAAAAGAAGCAGCCCTCTTGATATAGGCATGATAGACGACCTTGAAACAACCTAAGGGAAATATTGTAACTCCCAAGCTGCTAGATGTCCAATACACCAAGTTTGTGCTCCCCAAAGCTGAAGGATAAATTCTAAAGAACAATGGAGGTAAGAATAGGATATACTTATTGAGGCAAAGATAGCTTCTGTCTGAGAGCAACAGGAGGGGACCTGGAAAGTGGGTTGCTACCGACCCGCCTTATGGGGGAGGCTTGATAAAACAAAAAATCACTGGAGGAGTATGAAATTATGAGGTGGGTATACTGCGGGACAAAACTACGATGACCCAATAATTACAAGCACAGTCACTTCGGTGACACTGATCCGATGGGAAGCATCACACAGCAAGTGTGCCTGGAAAGAATGGGTACCTTTCTTGGGAGGGCTATGCCGAGTCCTGGTCCCCCACCTAGGTGATCAGTGTGCATTTATTTATTTTTCTTTTTCGGTTTTTTGAGTCAGGATCTCACTATGTAGTTTAGGCTGGGCTTAAACTCACTATGTAGTCTGGGCTGGCTTTGAACTCACAGCAATCCTCCTGCTTCAGCCTCCTGAGTGCTGGGATTATAGGCGTGTACCACCACGCCCAGGTTGGTGCCCATTTAGAATCTCAATCATTATTGGTTATCCCTAAGGAAAGTTCATAGGTGTAGTGTTTCCATTCCTCCAACATTGTCCATTGAAGGTTGAATCTTCTGCATTGACTTCCTGGAGGGCCCAGCACTGTCTGCCTGTAATACTTCTATCTAACTTAGCGTCTATAACACTCTGAAGACTAGGGGTGGGGCTGTCAGCTCCCTTAATACCTGTTTTCCAAAGCTGCCACCAAACACATAAGGATTCCTAAGACTGCTTCTGATTCCATCAGTGAAATCGTCTGTGCTGTAATGGCTCCACCTCAGAAAACCCCGGCTTCCTGGGGAGAGCAGAGGAGTGTGGGGAAAGGACAGAAGAACCGATGCAACAGTGACTCTCTCTGCTCACACTGCCTTCCCAGCCCATGCTACTCTCACTGCCGAGAGAGACCTGGGGCGTAGAGCTTTCTCAGGTTGGGAGTCTGGTCTTCAGTAAGACATGCCTCCAAAAATAGAGAAAGAAAGGAAAAAGTAGCTTGGAGTTAAAAGGACGCAGCACTGAGATTTGTTCTCTCCCTGAGATGGAAGGGCAGCGGCCAGTGCTGATAGGTTTTGGAACTGGCTGACAGGTCCTGAGTTTCCATGGGAGGCGTGCTGACCCGGTCTACTCTGCCACCAGGGAAATGACAGGAGACACAGGTGGTAAGACGATCCAGCAAAAAGCAGCGCGTGGTTCTCTGTCTCTTAAATGGAATCACGGTCAACAAGACATTGCAACAAGAAAAGTGATAGAATTTTGGCGCGGCTGAAAATATAAACATATAAATGACTTTTATTTTAAGAATGTGGGGAGAGACCCCCGACCCTCCGGGGTCTGGCATTGCCTCCCGCGGACGCGTGTAGTGGGGACCTATAGGTAGCTTAGGTTTGGGGTGGAGCCTAGGGGGCATTAGTGGTTTGCAGGTAGCTCATTGCTATTCATTTCGCGCCACAGGTAAATTCCTAGGGGCGGGGAAAATAGAGCCTTGGTTGCGCCTCCCAGCCTCCTCCCCGCTACAGTGCCCCAACTGGGCCAAAATCCTTTCAAAAAGCATAATTAAAAACTCCATTTGGGCCTTACCTCTTACTAATCTCGTATCTCAGTAGAACCTCTCAAATAGGAACGTGAATGGGGCTGGGGATTTAGCTCAGCGGCATAAGCACTTGCCTTGCAAGCAGGTGGTCGTGATTTCGATCCCTGGTACTGATTAAAAAAAGAAAACAAAATAGGAACGTGAAATCTGAACAAACCATGTTTGTGGTCTCAACATCCATGAATCTTGAGTTGTCGACCAAAAGGAAGAGGTTAGGAGAATTTTCATTGGAAAGGAGGAGAAAGAAGACTAAAACTCGGGTTTTTTTTTTTTTTTTTTTTTTAAAGAAAGAAAATCCAAAAAGTGGGATTTCTTAAAAGGCATGTTTAGCTGGGCGTGGTGACTCATGCCTGTAATCCCAGCATTCCAGAGGCTGACACAGGAGGATTGCTGTGAGTTCGAGACCAGTCTGAGCTACAAAGTGAGCTCAAGTCCAGCCTGAACTGCATAGCGAGACCTTGTGTCAAAGACAATAAATAAAAATAAAAAAGGCATGTTTAAAAACCAAGTATTTACCAAAGATATTGCCTGTATAAAACCATTGAGCATGCTGTTAAGATTTTTCTATTGATCAGAGGTGCCAGTAGTTAAATTATGTTAACATTTAAAATCGGGTAGGGTAGTGCTGGGGAGTTAGCTCAACCGCATAAGCGCCTGAGTTTGATCCCCCAACTACCACAAAAAAAAAAAAAAAAGGTGGGGTTGAGTGTGGCTCAGTGATTTTACAATGTGCTTTGCACATGTAAAATCCTGGATAGTGAAGTACTGGATTCAATCCTCACCACCAAAAAGAATAAAAATAAAAATTGCTTTATTCCCAGAAAAAATGTGACGTTTACATAAAGACCTTGTTTTGTGGTTAAAATTCATCTCATATTTGACTATTAAAAGCAGTATTTCCTAACCAGTGAAACCTTGTCTCACCAAAAAAAACAAAAACAATGCACTATTGTTTTTATTACTGAGTTGATAGGATTATTTCCAGAGGATGAAAAATATTTCCATATAAAACAAAAGAGGCCTTTATTCTGGGAACAGGGGGGGGGGGAGCTTAGGGCAGTGCCCTAAGGCCATTAGAGATGCACAGCTATTTCATTGGCACACGGGCGGGAGAGGCTGGAGCTCCCTAATTCCGGCTGAGGCTTTTCTGGCTACAGTGTCGGGTCTGGGTCGACAAGCCTTTCAAGAGTCAGTGCCATCTCTATAAACTTAAAGGTTTCCAGGTTCTATTCAGTTAAATACTTAAGGTTTTTAAGAATGAGCAAAAAGTAACAAAGTGACACTAAATCAGGTTTCCTGTGGAAAGGTCGCTGAAAACAAAACAGACATAAAATATTTTGTTATGGAAGACCTCAAACATTCACAAAATTTACGTGACAGTGGAAAACTCGACTGCCCATAGCTCAATAACATCAGCCTACCATCAGCTGCATTTCTGTTCCCCTAACATTTTAACGCAAACCACAGACCTCATTTTACCTCTAAATACCTATGCACGCATCACAAAGAGAGAAAGACTTTTAAATAACACGAGTACAATGACAGAGAGGAATTTTTCTTTCGTTTTTTTGGAACAGTGTCTCGACCTGAGTGCCCCAGGTTGGCCTTAACTAATAAACGCTCTCCAACACTTCTGTCAAATTTTGTTCTTCGCTCTTCGGAGACAAAAAATAAACCACACACTCCAGTTCACACGAAAGTAATTGTGAGTGGGCGCCCCCCAGATACTCGTCGATGACGTTTAATCAAACTCTCTGGCGACACCGCGGCGAGCGAACGCACTGCCTTCCCCATCGCGGCCCGGAGGACGCGAGGCCACGCGCCTAACGGGGATCTGCGGACGGCGGCGGGAGGCCGGGCCTGGACGGCAGCCACCTCCGCGCCGGGGGCCTACAGACTGCGCCACGCCCGGGCGTGCCTGAGGCCTAGGCGGGCCTCACACGCCAGGCCTCACGACCGGAAGCAGCCCCGAGGCCCCGGGAGCCGGCCCTGGAGTGTTACGTAAGTGCGTGAGTGGGGTGGAGGCGTGTCCTGGGGCCCTGCGCCCTCGTGATTGGCTGGCAGAAGGCCAAGGCCTTTTCCTCTACGGGGCGGCCTTGGAAGCGCGCGTCAGCGGTGGCTCGCGGGGAGGGGCAGGGGCGTATCCGGTCCCTCGGGGGCCACCGATTGGCTGCGAGGCACCGGCGCCCAGCCTGAGGGCGGGGCCGCGAGGCCGCTCTGGTGTGAGTTGGCGACCGGCTTTTGATAAACGACTATGGCAGCTCGGGCGGGTCAGAGGGTCTTTATGAAGGCAGCCTCGGGATGCTGCGCGAGGCCGCCCACGCGCAACGTCAGGTGAGGAACCCTGAGGGCGCGGGGACGCGTTTCCGCCCGGTCCGGAGGACCCGAGGCTCCGGCGTCGGGACGGTCTGCCGAGTTGGCGCTCCGTTTGGGGACCTCGGGGGCGGCTGGGGTCGCACTCGGCCGCCGGGCCGCCTTCCGGTTCCTGCCTGCCCTAGAGTCGGGGTGCGCGGAGGTGGAGGGAGGCCCATCGCGTACGACCAACGACGGACTGCTCTTATCACTAAGCTGTGACTCGAGTTCCTGTAACCTTGAGCCAGGGCTGCCCTCGGTTTTCCGGGTTGGTTCTGTGGGGAGGCGGGTGGAGAAGGGGGGAAGCGGGAGGGATACGATGCTTTCCTACCTGCCGACCTTCAGAGCGGCACTGTAGGAAGTGACTCCGGAAAGTTCTGACCCAAAGCGTTTAATGGTTCGTTCGTCTGTGCGTATGCCGGACTGGGTGGAGGGAAAAAAAAAACAAGATTGGCAGAGTCCTGGGCATTAGTTTCGGCGGAGAGTTTTTTAAAAAGCACCAGCAACCTTCGACCTCCAAATTCTTTCCTACAAATACTGGATAAAACTGAGATACAATCAGATATCGATTCCTGCTTTAGAAAATAACTTCAAAAAGTATGTCCTAGCAGAGCAACACCCCTCCTCCCGTCTTTTGCGTCATCTTGTGTTGTTGTGATAAGCATTCAAGTTCAAGTAAGTTGTCACGTTAACTTAGATTCTGTCCTTTAGTATAATAGAGTTTTGGAGAATAGTATTGGCATATTACTTTATATAAAGAAAAACTTCGCTCAGTGTGGTTCAGTATTCGTTTCACAGTTTGAATATGACTTACAGCATTTCATATTATAGTTGAAAACTATTTTTTTTTTCTCTTGGTCCTGGTGGCAGTGGAGCCCAGGCTATAGCTCACGCATAAGCATGGCACTATACCACTGCTATACACGCTTAGCCTGGATTATTCTTGATAGTATGTAAAAAGCAGGTGTGTTATCCATAGGTGGTCAGGAAATACGTTGGTTTGCTTTAGGCACCGATGATTCTTTTTTTTTTTTTTTTTTTTTTTTTTTAGCTTTTTCGTTTTTTACCGGTACCAGGGATCGAACTCACGACTGCCTGCTTTCGAGGCAGGCGCTTATGCCGCTGAGCTAAATCCCCAGTCCCTACACCGATGATTCTTTTAGGATCATAAGCAGGTTGTGTAAGGGGATCTTTGAAGGAGCCTGGGAGAGCAATGCATGAGTCTAGTACAAGACCCTGTACAGTGAAAAAGTAAGCTTATTGGCTAATGAGGCACCAAATTCACCTCTTCAGGAGTCTATGCATGTACACATCCACACTACATAGTGTGTGTATGATACGTGCCGTGTTGCTGTGCTCTACCCGAGCTAACCCCAGCTCCCATTCAACTTTTATAAACAACTTGATTTGTTCTGGTCTCTCTTTCTTTCCTCCTTTGAGTTTTTTTATATTTTGAAGCTGTATTCTTAAGTATTATCCTTTATCCTATGCTTCTGGCTACATATTACCAATTTGTCACCTCTCTTTAATTTTCTCTTCCTCTCCAACTAAATGGTAGGGTATCAGTTTCTTTCAAGAAATTTCATTTATTTTAAAAAAAGAAATTTTGTTTTACATACAAATCATTTTATGTAAATATTAGGTGTGACAACATGAGATTTCATAAGGCCACTCGTTTCCCCTTTTAAAAAACAGTTTGGGGCAGGTAGGATGGCACACACCTGTAATCCTAGTTCCTGAGGGCACTGAGGCAGGAGGATCACAAGTTGGAGCCTAGGAAACTTAGGTAGAACTGTCTCCAAAATATAAAAGAGGCTGGGGCCAGTGGCACACACTTGTAATCCCAGCATGCTAGGAGACTGAGGCAGGAATGTTATGAGTTTGAGCCCAACATGGGCAAGTTAGACTCTGTCTCAAAATTAAAAAAAAAAATTTAAAGGCAGGAAATGTAGTGAAGCTCTGGGTTTAGGCCCTAGTACTGACCGAATTACTATGACAAACAAAAAAATTGAGAATTTGGATTTGATTTAATCAGCTGTCAGACTCTTACTTGGAACTCTTCAACGGATTCTTTTTGAGAATAAATTTCAAGTTACTTTATCCTGGTTAATAATACTCAGTGTGATTCAGCTCCTTTTTCCAGCATTACTTCTTTGTATTCGCTTGGCCTGCTACAGTGCCGATACTCTGTTAGTTGTCTTGGTCTCTGAGTACTGTGAAGTTTCCCTTATGTTTGGAATAATCAATAGCCCCCTCCCCCTATTTATATGTGAATAATATATCTGTATATGCATATGTGTACACACATGTTTGCTGTATGTATGCATACCTGTTTTTTTTCTCTTTGTTCAGCTAACTCATTATATTTCTGCTGAAATACAGCTTCTGAGAGTTTTAGGATATCCTAAAGGAGGTTCTAATTACATGTCACCATACCTGTTTGTTTTGTGGGACTTTTTTTGAATCCTCATTTAGGAAAGGTTAAACATATTTAGGTAAACAGGAGGACAGCAGGTATCTGTATATGGAAATGCCCTGAACAGTTTTTTTAAAAACAATTTTAATACTCTAACTAGACCTATTTTTTACATGTGTTGTTGAAAGAAAGATTAGAAAGTAAAGGAGAACAGAACAGCAGTGCTATGAATTGAGCCAGGAGATTGTTAATCTGAGAAGGAGAACTAATTTCAAGACTCATTGAAGTTGGTGAGGAATTAAGGAAATAAATACGCAGGCTCCAGCTGGCAGAGTATGTGGGAATGTTTAGATGAGCTGCAGCAGAGATCGTGAGTATGTGATGTGCACGTGGTAGAGAAGGTGTGTGCACCGTCACTGACGGGAAAAGGCACCTGTAGCAACAGTCACTCCAAACCTCATTGTAACCTATTATTTTTAGTTTTCTTTGTGGTTCTGATGAAGCTGTATTTTTCTATACCTGTGCTTGCAAAAGAGAAAAAGACGTGTATTTTTAGGAGTATTTTAAAGTAAAAAGCTTTCTAAAGTATATTTTTAAAAAATCTCTATAATTTGTGCATTCTTTTATTTTCATTTCATCCTAAATCAGGTAAATTTTGTCTTTTTTAGACATTTAGCTTCCTGTGGTATACTGATGAGCAGAACTCTTCCATCCCATACCTCAGTTTTGCCTAAGGAGACGCATGCAAGAACTTTTTTCAAAATCACTGCGCCATTAATAAACAAAAGAAAAGAATATTCAGAGAGAAGAATTATTGGGTTTGTATATAATAGTAATTCCACTTAAAGAGTACATTCACAGTATTTTGTAGGGAATTACACATTTTCTGGTCTTCTTGTTCTTGTTTTTTTTTTTTTTTGTGATGCTGATGATTGAATCTAGGACCTTGCACATTCTAGACAAATGCTCTACTATTAAGCTGTACCCTAGCCCTCTGGTTTATCTTATACACTGAACTCTGCTTTTTGTTGGTTGGTCTTTGTATATCCCTTGATTTTTTTTTTTTTTTTTTTTTTTATCTTTTTATCGGTACCAGGGATAGAACTCACGACCGCCTGCTTGCAAGGCAGGTGCTTATGCTGCTGAGCTAAATCCCCAGCCCCTATCCCTTGATATTTTATGAGTATAGTCCTTTATGGTTAGATTTAAACCTTCACACATAAAGGAAATAATTTTATGACCTGCATTTTAGTAGGCTGTTCTTTTCATAATTAAAAAGATTAGTTCAAACATACAGAAAGAGCCGGGCATGGTAGTGTAACCTGTAATCCCAGCACTCAGGAAGTTGAGGCAGGAGGATCATCACAAGTTTGAGGCCAGCCTGATGCATAGTGAGCAAAAAGACAAAAAAATCCAAAAGAAAAAACCTCCAAACAGGGCTGGGAATTTAGCTCAGCGGCATAAATGCCTGCCTGGTGAGCGTAAGGTCATGAGTTTGATCCCCAGTACCAAAAAAAAAAAAAACTCCAAACATACAGAAAGGTCCAAATTCTGTCATATTCCATATCATTCTCCCCCTTTTTTCCCTAGTAACCCAGGGCTTTCACATTAAGCTACATCTATCCCTAGCTATTGTTCAGGGTTTTTTTTCTTTTTTTCTTTGTTTTTTGACACAGGGTCTTGCTGTGCAGTGCAGGCTGGCCTTGAACTCACTGTGTAGCCCAGGCTGGCCTACAATTTATGACAGTCCTTTTGCCTCAGTCTCTGGAGTGCTGATTTTTGTTTTGTTTTGTTTTTAAACTTATGCCGCTGAGCTAAATCCCCAGCCCTGGAGTGCTGATGTTAAACTCCTAGCCTTTATTTATTTATTCAGACAGGATCTCACAAAATTGTTTACTAGATCACTTTGGGGTGAATTGTGTTTAATATATATCTACAACTCCAGCCTGGCATTTTGCATTTCTATGCTATTGTTTTCCTTCTGGTTCTGTTTAGTTTAGGAAAGAGGTTGATTTCTGTGTAATTGGCCACCTTACTGAATTCTAAATTGATTGTTGAGTTGACACTCATATCACCTGCCAGTTGGTAAATGTACCTAATATTTTTAGCACATACTCTTTGTATTTCATGCTTTGATTTAACACTTTGCCTTCAGAATTTTTGTGTTCTTTAATGGTAATGCTTCTGATATTTCATCATTTGTGGAAGGCATCATAGTTGGGGTTTTTTTGCCAATTAATATCGTTAAAATAATAATAGTGGTGTTTTTTTTTTTTTAAGATTCTTAGTGTTAAATCATCCATATATTTCCTTTTTTGTTTTTTGTGAGAGCAGCAGGGGGCCAAGAGGTGATATGTGTTAGAGATGTAGGGGACAATGGAGATGTCGCTTTGGTCCATCAAAATCAGAAAGTCCTTCTCAAGCAGGGTGGCACTGTCAGGACATCATATATTCCTAAGTGGTTGCTTTTGATTGTTATTTTTTAAGAAAATGTATTGCTTGATTCTGTTTGCTGCTATTTTTCTTACAGTTTGTGTGTCAGTACTAACTAGGTGATATTGATGTGTAAGTTTTTTGTTGTTGTTTCATTAGGATGTAGTTATCAGGTCATTATGCTAAATCATAAAAGGAATAGAAGCTGGGTGTGGTGGCACATGCCTGTAATTCCAGCACGCAGGTGTCTGAGGCAGGAGAATCTTCATGAGTTCAAGGCCACCCTGAACTATACAGTGAGATCCTGTCACAAAAAGAAAAACCCAAAAAACAAACAGAAGGAATAGATTTTCTTTCATTGTGTTCTAGAATAGTTTATTTTCCTTTTTAAAATTAAAGTGGTAATCGCTTCTCTGTCTTTTGGCTGAGATCAAGTGTAAAATTAAAGTAGTATTTATACCTTATCAGGTCCTAATAATGAAACTGGAAATCAAAAGCAAGAGAAACCACAGAAACTATATAATCTTTTTTGGGGGGTGGGGTACTGGGGATCAAACTAATGACCATGCGCTTGCAAGGCAGGCGCTTATGTCGCTGAGCTAAATCCCCCACCACAGAAATTATATAAATGCATGAAGACTGAAAGCACTTTAGACATTCAGTATTTCATTGAAATCCAAGGAGGCAATTTAAGAATTTCTAAATTCTGCAGAGCAGAGCATGGTGGCGTATGCCTCCCAGCACCTGGGAGGCTAAGGCAGGAGGATCACCATGAGTTCAAGGCCAGCCTGGGCTACATAAGGGAGTTTAAGGCTCACTGAACTACACAGTGAGATCTTGTCATCAAAAAAAGTGGGGGGAGATAATAGTAATTCCTAGAATCAAATAAAAATAGGAATCAGAATCTCTAGGATATAGCAAAGGCATTTCAGAGGGAAGTCAGAAATATAAAATCTCAACCTCATGATGAATTTCAAGGTTCTGGAAAAACAAGAACAAACTGGAAATCAGACCAACAGAAAGAAAGAAAGAATTAAGATCAGAATTGAAGTTAATGAGAGAGAGACTAAAAGAACAATACATAGGATCAGTCAAACAAGATTGATATCAAAAAAATAAATAGGATTGATAATCCTTAGCCAAACTAACCAAGAAAGAAAGACCCAGTCAGTACAACCTGGGGTGGAAAGGCAGACAACAGTAAAATCCAGACGCTTATTAGGAACTACTTTGAAACATGTATTCTAATTAATTTGGGGATCTGAAAGAAACAGATCAATTTCCAGATACTTAAAACCTGCCAAAACTGAAGCAAGAGGATGTAAACAGCCTAAACTGCTTAGAATCAAGGACTAAAATGAGTTCAGAAATAATAAGTCTCTCAAAAAGTAAAAGCTCAGAACCAGATGGGTTCACTGTGAATTTTACTAGATCTTTGAAGAACTAACAGCAGTGCTTTTCATACTATGCCATAAAATAGAAGGGAAAGAAAGCCTCCAGACTCACTCTCCTAGACCAGCCTCACCCTGATGCCAAAACTGGACAGGGACACAACAGAAAAGACCACTGCAGACCCACACCCCTGAAGAGCACAGCTGCAGAAAGCTTTAATAAAGTACTGACAAGCCAAATCCAACGACACGTTAAAAAGATCACACACCTCGACCAAGCTGCTTTCATTCCTGAGATGCAAGGATGGTTCGGTGTATGTAAATCAGTAAATGTGCTACACTGCATGAACAGAAGGATAAAACCACATGGTCATCTCACTTGACCCAGGAAAGAGCTTTGACAGCATGCAGCATCCCTGCGTGATAGGAGCCCTGAAGAAATGAGGTATGAGAGGCCTTTACGACAGGCACACAACCAGCTTGGTCTGAGGCGGGAAGATCTGAAAATCAAGTAGGGGTGAGGCAAGGGTGTCTGCTCACAGTTCCGAGTCCACACACTGCTTAAAATTTTAGCCAGGTGAGAGGGCGAGAGGAAAAAAGGGAAGCCAGGCATGGTGGTACATACCTGTCACCCCAGCCTTCCAAAGGCTGACACAGGAGGACTGCTGTGAGTGCAGGACCAGCCTGGACTACACAGCGAGAGCCTCTCAAAAACCACGGAAAACAAGGGCTATGCATAGGAAGGGAAGAAATGGGATTATCCTTGTTTATAGACTGATCCCGTGCCTAGGAGACCCTGAAGACACCACCCAAAGACTTAGAGTGGTAAATTTAACAAAGCAGCAGAATATAAAGCCAGCATTAGGAAAGTGAATAGCTTTTCTGGACACCAGCAGTGGACTAGTTGAGAAAGAAACTGTTAGGTCCGCCCACCTGAGAGACCGCACAATCTTCATGGCAGCGGTCCAAGCTGTGCCGTGATAATGCACACCTCCTTCTTCCCAGAAGCCCCTGTGGCTTATCCCTCCCGAAAGTCTGCCAGAGCTCAGGTGTGTAAAGGTTTACCCAGTCCCCTGCACTCCCACAAAATAAACCAGCTCACACCGGCCCCCAGAGCCCTGCCCCATCAGAGCCTGCATCAGGCAGAACCTGCCCTTCGTCTGCGGAGCCCCACCGCCGTCTCTGAGATGGCTCCCTCCCGGCCCTCCCCGCTTATTAAACTCTTCTTATCTGCTTGCCTTCTCTCTTTAATGATTATTCTGTGCTGCTCTGGATTGAGTACAAATCACCCAATCAGAAGCCAGTATACTGATTCCAGTCATATAGCTTTAAAAAACCCCAAAAGCTTAGGGGTCGATCTAAGCATGAAGGTGAAAGAGCTCTGTGCCCTTATTGCCAGAAACAATCTGCATGTTTAATGTAGTCCCTATCACAATACCAATGGCATTCTTCACAGAACTAGAAAAAACAATCCTGAACCTCATACAGAAACATGGCCTGTCCAGAGTACACTGAAGTGAATTTAAGCCAAAGAACAATTCTGGAGGCATCACAAGTTCCTGTTTCAAACTGCAAAGCTGTGGTAACAGCGTGGTGCTGGTACACAGATAGACACACCGGGTGGTGGGATACAGGGCAGATTCACCTCTGCAACAGCAGCCCTCTGATTCCCGCCGCAGGAGCCAGAAACACGTGTGGGAGATCAGTTCCTTTAATAGATGCCACTGGGAAAACTGAAGAAAACTAGATCCCTGTCTCACCCTGAACAGAAACCACTTCAGAATGGATTGAGACCTGAAACTTTGCACCAAACACTTCAAGCCATGGGTACAGGCAGAGACTTCCACAGTCAGACTCTGATAGCACAGGAATCAGCATAATGGGACCACATCAGATTAAAGTGTGCATCAAGGTGTCAGCAGTGAAGACTGCTAACAGGACGAGGGAAAATCTCTGCCATGAATGCTTCTAACGGAAGTTTACCGTCTAGCATATGTCAAACTCAAAAGTGTTCACATCCAAATATCACATAGCCCACTAAGTAAATGGAGAAATGGACTAAACAGACACACTGAGCAAAATAAGCTAAGCTTGAAGGCAAATGTCATAATCTCCCTAACACGTAGGATCTAAAAATGGTGAGACAAAGGTGGACGGGAGAACTGGGCATGATGGTGCATGCCTGTAGTCTCTGCACTCGGGAGGCTGAGGCAGGCAGATCCTTGCAAGTTCAAGACCAGCCTAGGCTACAAAGTAAGCCCAAAGGCCAGCCTGAACTGCGTAGTGAGACCCTGTCTCAAAAAGACAGAAAAAAAAGTGGAAGGGAGACTATTAAATAGACAGATGAGACCTGGAATGGAAGGGACAGGAAGGAAGGGTTGGGAGGGATGGACAGCATCAAAATACATGCAGTGAAGCCTGATTTTTATGAGATTAAAACGCTAATAGAAGGAAAAAAGAGCTGGGGATGTAGCTCAGTGGCACAGCACTTGCCCAGCAGGCGTGAGGTCCTGAGTTCAATTTCTGGTACACAAAAAAAACAAAGGCAAAGTAGGTGCTTGCTTAGTATATGGAAGACCTTGGGTTTCATCCTAGTACCAGAAAAAAAGAAATTTCAGTGTTGAGGAATTTAACACACACACAAAATACGCAAATTAGAATAGCAGTGCATACCTATTGAAGATAACAACATGGAAGCCCGTAGACTAAGCAGTTAGTCTGCCGTTACCCCTCTTTGTTTTCTGAGTTAACTGATTATTGTTTAGTATGTGTCCTTTTGGATATTTTAAAAAGTTACAGATGAGGGGCCGGAGATTTAGCTCAGCGGCATAAGCGCCTGCTTTGCAAGCAGGCAGTCGTGAGTTCAATCCCTGGTACCGATAAAAAGGAAAAAGACAAAAAAAAAAAAAAAAGTTACAGATGGGGCTGGGGATTTAGCTCAGTGGCATAAGCACGTGCCATACAAGCTGGTGGTCCTGAGTTTGATCCAAAAGTTACAGATGTTCTTTTGTCAGTATTACTTTGAGGAAGAAACAAATGTCAAACAAGTTGAGTAAATGCAAAGTATGCCTAACACTTTCTTAAAAGTCATGTATATTTTGCTTTATATTCTGCCTTTTTCATTAACAATGTTATAAATGTCTTGGCCTTAAAATATATATTTGACCTAATTTTTTTTGAGTGGTCAATACAGAGTTCCACAGAAATCCTGCACTATGATTTGTTAAACTTTTATTAATGTCTGTTTACTAACAGACATGTAGGTTGCTTTCATTATTTTCTCTCGCAATTGTGAGTGAATTATTTTTATAATAAGGTAGTATTTTTAAATAGTAAATTACTAAAGGTTAAATTGCTGGCTGATTCGATCCCTGGTACTGATAAAAACAAAAAAGAAAAATAATTGTTAGTCAACTCACCTAATTTTCTTTGTTTTTTGCAGTACTAGGCGGTCAAATCCAGGGCCTTCGCACTGAGCTAAATTCCTAACTCTTTTATTTCTTTCTTTCTTTCTTTTTTTTTTTTTTTTTGAGACATGGTCTTGGTAAGTCACTCTGACTGGAGTGGAATTTGTGAACCTCCAGCCTCATCCTCCAGAGTGCTGGAATTACAGGCATGCACCGCCCCACCCAGCTTCACCTGATTGTTATATGGAGGTGTGGATCTATGCCTGCAAGACTTTTTGGTTTTTAAAGTTTTTAAATATAAATTCTCCATTTTCAAGTGCATGAGTGAAAATGTAAAAACCATATCTGCAGGATAAATTAACCTGTGAACTGCCAAATTGTGACTTGTGCAGTGTGTCTGTCTGGTTCCTTTCACTCTCTGTTTGCTTTGTATGTACATGTCTTACATAACTAGCTGATAATGCCCTTGGTCTCTTTTTAAAAGATATTCAATGCAGGAAATGTATGATGTGGTATCGGAAATGGAAGATTACAAGCATTTCGTTCCTTGGTGCAAAAAGTCAGACATAATATCAAGGAGACCTGGGTATTGTAAAACCCGGTTAGAAATCGGCTTTCCACCTGTGCTGGAGCGATACACATCAGTAGTGACCTTGGTGAAACCGCATTTGGTAAAGGTAATGGTTTGGGCTTTTGTTTTTAAATATTCCTCAGATACTAGTTATATCAAACGAGTTGTATACTGTAATATGTAAAAAGCTTATAAAGATAGCTTTTCAGAAGTAGAAGGGGAAAAAAAACTATTTATTGTACTTTTTGTGTTATTAGACAATATTAGCATTCTTTTTTTCCTTTCGTTGAGGACTGCTGGATAATAGGAAAGATCATTTGGACCACAGGTGAGAATGGTTTTAATACCTGCAGGGTTTTAAGAAAATACATTGAATGTTTTATCACTGATAAAAATGAATTTGTTTAATAAACGTGTTTTCTGAAAAGTTAGAGAAGGGTTGGCGTGGTGTCCGCCTGGAGTCCCAGCTGCTTGACAGGCTGAGGCAGGATGATTGCAAGTTCAGCGTTGCCAGATGGAAAGTAGGCCAGCCTGGGCAGTTTGGTGAGACTGTCTCAGCACAAAAAGACCCGCAGGCTGAGCACGTAGGCTAGTGGTAGTACGTGCTTAGCATGTGTGCGGCTCGGAGTTCAGTCCTCAGAACCGCAAAAAACGAAGGAAAGGTCATAGCCCCATGTGGATTGCTGACTGTGGCCTGGCTGCCATTTGTCACGTCGCGTGCTGCAGGCTGCAGCTCTCGTGGGTCTCAGGCAGTACTGCGGAATGGCGTAGAATGGGAGCTCCGGAACAGGTGCTGTGTACAGACCACCCATGTGTGCTGGAGAGGTCAGGGAGAAGTCCAGGCCGAGGCTCGGTGGACAGTGGGGGTGGGGTCTCTAGGAGAGTCATGAAGCACGTGAGAAAGGCTGCAAGCAGGCCGAGAGGTGTGGCAGGCGGGAGTTGGAGGTGCCACAGGGACTGTGCAGGTACCGCCGAGCATGCCAGCCTTTGCGGTGGCACGCGGTCAGTGTGGTCTACAGCTGGGGAGTCTGGTTCGGAGGGGACTGGTTCAGGACCACTCAGACATGCTGCGCTGGAAATCGCTGCCAAAGTCTGAGTGCTGTGTGTTGGAGGACAGCGCCTGCGGGCGGGAACATGGGGGCTCCCGGTGGGGTCTTGGTGATGGGCTCTTCGATCCAGGCGGTCAGGTGTCCGCGCTGGTTCTCCTGGGTTTCGGGGAGGCAGCCTCAGTCATGACAGATTCCCGCCAGGACCGAGGGTGTTACCAAAGCCTTTTCACCCTCTCCAGGCGTCCTGCACGGACGGGAGGCTTTTCAAACATCTGGAGACAGTTTGGCGTTTCAGCCCAGGCCTTCCCGGCTACCCGAGAACTTGCACCTTGGATTTTTCGGTAAGTCCTTCATTGGTTTCACATAGAAAGTGAAGCTGCTAAAGTAGTGGTGACCCACTTTTAAAAGCCCAGGTGCTTTGATGATCTGATGTGCCTAGAGATTACTGAAAGACACCCTTTAAAAAAGTAGTTACTTTGTGCCTGCAACTCAGGCGTTGAGCCCTAAGAAATTGTGCTAATGTTTTGTTTGGTATTCTGAGAGGAGCTCACTGTAGTCTGGAGTAGCCTCTAGCTGCCAATCAGTAAAAATTAGTGGGCACTAGTAGAAGACTTGGAAGTCTGAAGAAAGTCTGAAAAACTGGATACTAGCATTTTAATCTAATCGTAATTCCCTCGGTGGATTCTTTGACAGTTGTACTGTGGTTATATAAAAGATTAAAATAGGGAAATCTAGGTGATGAGTACATGGAAATTCTATGCAGTTTCTGCAACATTGTTACAAAAAGGACATTTCAGAATGAAAAGCCAGGGCTTGTGGTATAGCTCAGTAGAGGCCCTTGGTTTGGTCCCCAGATTCCCCCATACACGAAGGATAACAATTAAAACATTTTAAAATTTAGATGCTATTTGGTTCTTAAAATACTTTCTTGAGTCAGGCCTGGTGATCTACATCTTTAATCCCAGGATTTTAGGAGGCTGAAGCAAGAGGATCTCAAATGGCCTGGCCTGAGCAACTTGTCTAGACCATGTCTCAACCAACGGTAGAAAATTTCAAAAGGGCTATGGATGTAGCTCAGTGTGAAGGCTCTAGGTCCAATCCTCAGAACCACAGGAAAGAAAAATCAGCTCTCTCTTTTGTTGCTGTTTTGGTTTTGGTTTTTTGAGACAGCGTCTCGCTTTGTGTATAGTTTAGGCTGTCCTTGTATGTAGTTCAGGCTAAACTCGAAGTGATCCTCTTGCCTCAGCCCCCCAAGTGTTTAGATTACAGATGTGCACCATCACACTTAGCCAAAAATCAGCATTCTTTTTTATATATTTATTTTTACTTTTGTTGAGACAGGGTCTCGCTGTACAGTTCAGACTGGTCCCGTACTCTCGTAGCCCAGGTTGGCCTTGAACTGGAAGCAGCTCTCTGGCTGCAGCCTCCTGGGAGCTGGGATTACAGGTGTGTGTCAGCATGCCTGGAATTCAGCATGTCTGAAGCAGCTGCCTTGAATTCTGTGGAGAAGGGTGGCTGCACATGCAGTTGTGCATCACTGTAGCAGGCCCACATGAGGCGGCGCGTGTGCGCAGGGGCACAGGCCTCCTCCCTGCTGTGACAGATGTCTCTGCCGCCTGCTTCCTCTTCCCCCCAGCCCTCCACACCCAGAGGTTCCGTGGCCTGGTACTGCCCTCCTCACGCAGGGCAGGCGCTGTGGCGCACCCCTGTGAGTGCAGGCTGAGGCAAGAGAAAGGTGCGTGGCCTGGACAGCGTAATGAGTTCGAGGCCAGCCCGGGATACATAGCGGGACCCCGGCCCAGAAGTAGGAAACAAACCGCAGATGTGCGCGAGCCCCGAGGCTGAGCTCCCCACTAGCCGAGCTGGCCCGCTGCCCTGCCCTGCTGAGCCTCTGGGAGTCCAGCGAGAGCGCGCCCTCTAAAGCCGTGACGTGACCGTTTCCCCACAGATCTCCTTCGAGTTCCGCTCGCTGCTGCACTCGCAGCTCGCAGCCTTGTTTTTTGACGAGGTGGTGAAGCAGATGGTGGCCGCCTTTGAAAGGAGAGCGTGCAAGCTATACGGCCCGGAGACCAGCATCCCGCGGGAGCTGATGCTGCACCAGGTGCACCACACATAGGGCGCGGGCCGGAAGCCATGCCTCGGGACCCTGCCTGGGAGCCAGGGAGCCGCGGCAAGCCCGCCTCGGTGGCACGCCTGGCCTGCTCCGCCCAGAACTTGGGCGTAGAGCACGGACCCACATTATTTGTTCAATCAAGGATGATTCCAAGGTTCTGCATTTGCAACAATGGGGATGCCACCACCACTGTTGAGTACTGACGTCATTCTGAGCAGGAATTAGAGCCATAATTTAAAATACCTTTCCACTGGCACCTTCCCTGCAAGAAGTTTGTTGAGCTGCATAATATATATTAACCATATCATGTTTAAGTTATTAAATCTAGAATATGTGTAATGTATTGCTATAGGGCTGCCATAGGGCCTAGGCTAGTTAGTAATCCTATTTCAAGCAAAAACTTGGATTCAGCTGGGCGTGGTAGCACACGCCTGTCATCCTAGCTACTAGGGAAGCTGAGGCAGGAGAATCACAAGTTCCAGGCCAGCATGGCCACTGCCGTGAGACCCTGCCTGAGTGCTGCAGCACCTGCCTGGCGTCTTCAGCACCCTGTGCTGCATCCCCAGTCAGGGTGGGGAGGAGAAAAGCTGGGTGAGGAAGTGCCCCGGCGCTGTCGGGCATCGAGGCTGGGGCGGCCAGAGTGTGCTTTGTCCTGTTCTGGTTTTTGAGTGGTCCAGAGTGTGGGGCTCCGTTTGGGGGATGGCAGCCTCCTCGGTGCTCTGGCTGCCTGTTGGGATGCTCATCACGCATGGTGCCTTGTTCCCCATGAGTGGTGGCATCTGGTCCCCATGAGCTGTGGCAGGAGAGAGCAGGTGCCTGACTCCTCCACTGCGCAGCCCCTCTCCTGTTTACTGTGTGTACTCACCTTCCACAATGGATTCCAGACTGGGGTTTGTAACACATCAATGTGAGGACTAAAGTGGTAACTTAATAAAGTTAATGTGTTTATTTTTGGTACAATTTCTTTGGTTATTGAAATCGTGCTGTTGTTTGAATGCGTGTCTAGACAGAAGCATTATAGCATTTCATGCTTTAAAAACCTTTCTACAGAAACTAATTTTGACAAATTGGGGCAGAATCGTCTTCCCTGGTCTGTGTTGGCCTCCTTCCCCGTACTGCATACCCCAGCCCCGGGGTTAACTGTGCTTCCTGGCTCTCGAGGGGCCTTGGTGGGGAGTTCCAAGGTACACGTAGCAAGCATTACCTGTAGCGCTGAGCTGTTTCCCCAGCGTTCTTGCATCTTGAGACAGTCCTTTAAGTTGCGTGTCCTGCCCCAGACTTTCAACCCTCCTGCTTCAGCCTCCTGAGTAGCTAGGTTTGCAGGTGTGTTCACCGTGCCTGGCATCAACTTTTTGAGAGTGGCATGTGGCTGGGGTAGTTAGCCTCCCTGAGCACGTATTCTCACTGTGGAAGGAGGTGGAAGACCTGACCTCAGTCTGTACCCGATTGCTCAGGATGGGAGTGTGGGAGGAAGAGTGAGGTGACTCCAGGACAGCTCTGTAGAGGCAGCATCATGGGGTGGGGGGTGGCGGCCAGCCCTGTGGCTTCCAGCTCTGCCTGCCTGGCTGCAGGAGCTGACACCCCAACTGTGTAGCTCAGGTGGGGCCTGGTGACCTATGACTGCTGCCCCCTGCCCCCTGCGGCACCCAAGGCCCTCCCTCTGCCTGCCTGAGTCCTGACCCTTCCTTCTTGCTTCCATTTCCTTCAAATGCTGTCTCCCGGGGCTTCCTGGGAAGGGTAAGGGTGTTTTTCAGTGCCCAAACATGTCCTCGATGGCTGGGCTGGCCAGGCGTCCTGACAGCATGGGGTTCTAGGTGGCAAGTCGGGGTGCTCAGCCTGCTTCAGCTGCCCTCCCTGCCATCACAGCCCTCTCTGCCTGTGTCCACAGAGCACTGACTTCATATATGAGGACTGACCAGAGGGCCCCGGCTCAGAGCATTGCCGTTTCTCCCAAGGTTGCGGAGTAGTCCTCACAACTTCCTGGGTGTGGGGATGAGCTGGGACTCAAGAGGACACCATCCAAGGTCAGAAATGGACAGGACCCAGTGGCTGCGAGAGGGGACGTGTAACCAGCTGTGCAGCCAGTGTGACCTCCTAGCATACTTACATCCTCTCTAGCACATTGCAGTATTCAGTGATGTCTTTCCTGTGGGTGCTTCCTAACTCCTGCATGGTCCTCATGACCTGTTCTTTGGTTTGAGACTAAGTCTCCATATGTAGTTCAGGTTGGCCTTGAACTCACAATCCCCCTGCCTCAGCCTCCTGAGAGCTGGGACTAAGGCATGTGTCACCACACCTAGCCTCGGTGCGCCTGTTCTGTGACATTGACCACATCTGTCACTGGTCTGCCTCACCATCGATTCCATCTGGCAGTTCCCTGGGAGGGTAATTGTTTCTCCTCCTGGCTCCCTGACCTAACACAACTGCACATACTGCAGCCCAGGCGTTCCTTATTCTTCACCTTCTCCAATTACCTAGTGTTGTGTCCTCTTCACAAACCACTTCCCTGGGATTTGCTCCCTTGGTTCTGCAGTTAATGTACCACTTATTTTGTTCCCTCTGATCTGCTGACTGGTGCTGCTTCAAACCTGAGCAAATCACCAGGGCAGAGGTATTGTGATGGTGGACTTGACTTACCCCTCCAACTGTGTCCGGACTGTGCTCCCAATGCCTAGCTTATGGTGGCAGTGCAGGGCCACACCAAGCAGACTGGGCTAGAGCTGGCCTTGTGCTGTGGGGAAGGTTAATCCTTCCCCAGTAAAACCCGTCTTCAATGCTTTTATAATCAAGTCAAATTAGAAAGCCACATATTACCTCTCGATGAGCAGGCACCAACACGCCCATCTCAGCACCTGTACCACATGAGTAAGGATCAAGCACATGGAGCCCGTGAGCGAGCGCACCCTTAAGCCAGGCGTCCCCAGCCTGTGGACGAGGCTTGCATTTCCTGGAACACATTTGCCAAGGGTGGGATGGGGGTGGGCTCAGACTGACGCAGGAGGCATAACCTAGATCACTGCAGGGTGGAAGCCCATCAGATGGGAGCACAGCTCAGGCCACAGTCCTGTAGGGGCAGCCGGGATGGATCCCAGCCTTGAGCTGCACATTAAGAACTGTGTGAAGTTAGAAATATTATAGGCAGACAGGGCTGGGCCCTTGAAGGAGCCAGTGCAGAAAACCAGATACCTGCAACTCGGGGAGATCTCAAGACAAAAAGATCAAACAGGTGTACCCACGTAAGGATAGACAGCAGGTGTACATCACCTGGAGGGAGCCAAGAGCCATGACCCACACCGTATGGGAAAAACCCGTCCCATTTCATGCCCACTTGCTCCAAGACCCAATTCCCATTTGATTGTGAGGTCATTGGTTTTACCTGAGCGGTTATGCACATGATCTTATCGGAGGACTACAGTTCTGTGCCCCCTCACACCCACCTTGCTATTCCCATTTCCCGGCCTTAGACCTATCTCACCTCATCATTTTGCTCTATAAAATCCCTTGCAAAGGGATTGCTTGGCAATCCTCCGACTGAAGCTTTCATCTCCTAGTAAGTATAGTGTGCTCTTAAACAAAAATACCTGTGAAGCAGCTTGGAGGCACAGCTGCTTAGCACACACAGCCTGGGCCAGGCCCGAAGATTCCCTTCCCCACGTCTTCAGATGGCACCAAGGAGAACAGGAAGCCATGGCCTGACCTCACACGGCTCACAAGAAACCACTGGCTGCTGAGCCTTTCACACCAGGCCTCCTCCATACTGCCGAGGCCATTCCTAGGGCAGTGCAGAATCCATCGGGTGTTCAGCGGCGCTCGGCACCCCTACAGTCATCTCCCGGGTCTGCAGGAGAGCACCACAGGGCTGCCGCCCTCACTGGTCTAGCTCCGCATCATGAAAAAGCTAGTGCAATCACTAACTTTGAACAGATTTTTATTACACAAAGGTTGTCACATAATTAATCTTCTCTATTTTGTACACAATTTTCCTCTCCACAGAAAGGCTGCTTCTGAACTTCTCATCTGTGACGGCAAGCACTAGAATCCTGATTGTAACAGAATAGTAGTAGAAATGCCTCCGTGATTTAAGTTGAAAGCAGTCCACTGGTACGTGGCTCTGGCTCCCAGTTTCAGGAATGTACAAATGTTTTTGTATTCAAAAATACAAAATAAATTATCTGTAGGCATGGACAATGACAGCAGTAAGCCATTAGGTATCGTAACTGAAACCAGCAATGATGGGCATGGGATTCCTTACACCAGCCAGCCTTCTCTTCATTTCCTTCATCTGAATTCTCCGAAGTTACTGGGGAGGACCCTGCGAGGTGCTTCCCGTCACAGTTCCCGATTGAGGGCCAAGTACCTTTCTAGGCTAGAACATTCCGCCCCCCATCCCACCACCCATGCCACCCATGGCGCCCATGGCAGGGTCCTTCTCCTCCTTAGGGATTTCTGTGACCACGACTTCTGCCGTTGTTAACAGAGAGGCCACACCTGCGGCATCCAGCAGAGCAGTTCTTACGACCTAGAGAAAACGTAACGAAGTGTTACTTCTCCCAGTGAAGAATGGCTAAGATGATGAGAATTTCATGTCTAAGAAAGACTGAACAATGTTTAGAAAGTGCTGCATGATTTACCTTTGTCGGATCAATGATTCCTTTCTCTATCATATTCACAAAGTCACCAAGCATAGCATCATAACCGACTTCGGAGGAGCTCTGCATGATTTTCTCAACTATCAAAGATCCTTCCACACCCGCGTTCTTCGCAATGGTCATCGCAGGAATTTTCAGTGTTCTTTTAATAATTTCTATACCTAGAAAGTAGTGTTGTAGGATGAGTATGTAAGGGTACTAAGGTAGGGAAATCCAATCTTACTAGCACCAGGATTGATCCCTGCATTTCCAGCTCGGGCCCCAACACTATTTTTGACTTTCTCTGTCAACTTTCAGTATTCAGGAAATCGCAATCTTGCTATTACAGGAAGACCCAGCAAGCCCATCTGAAAGGTCATTTTCTTACCAATCTTTTGATCTTCATTGGCAGGAGTTAAGGCGTCCAGGGCGGGGATGCACCGCAGCAAGGCACACCCACCCCCCAGAACAATGCCCTCCTCCACAGCTGCCCTCGTGGCGTTGAGGGCATCCGTGACCCTGTCTTTCTTCTCATTCACCTCGACATCACTTGTCCCACCGACCTGAAGATGAAAAGAACTCCAGCTAGTATGGCCTTCCCATTAAATACACCAGCTGCCAAAAAAGTCACTTAAAAATGCAGCTGTCACCAGGGACATAGCTCAGTGGCACAGCTCCTGCCTAGTAGGTATGAAGTCATGAGTTCAATACCTGGTCACACACAGCACTACCACCACCACCACCCCCCGCCACCGCCAAAAAAAACCCACCCAAAGCCACTGTCAGGCACCTGGTGCTCCTTGGGAGGCTAAGGCAGAACTACAAGTGTGAGAGTGGCTTGGGTGATCTAGCAAGATGCTACCTCCTAAGAGCTGGATACAACCCAGTAGGAGAGCCGCAGGTCACTCAGTACTACAAAAACAGACAGCTCCCACCTTGGTTATGCAGAGAGCAATCCAAAGAAAATAGGCTGCCCGAGTACAGTGACTTCATGACTCAACTTCATGGTTGAGTGCAGTTCTCACCCCAGAGACCCAAGCCAAGTCCTCGTCCCACGAACATGTTTTCTATAGCAGCTTCCCTAAAACAGGGATGCCAATGTTAAGAAAAAATGGGGCAGAGCCCTGGCCCACCACTCGTAGGAAGCCCTGGGTTTGATCCTCCCCCACCCCCACAGACATTTTGGTTAAGAAGCCATCCTGGATTTCCATGAAGTGACTTCCTCAAACAGTTTGCTTAGTCATCATCAGGACAGCCACAGAAGCTGAAGGACTGGCTTGGCACCTGGGCTGCGAGCCTACCTTCAACACAGCCACTCCGTCTGAAAGCTTCGCCAGCCGCTCATTCAGTTTCTCCTTCTCATATTCACTGGTTGTGACTTCTAACTGCTCAGTGATTTCCTGAATACGTTTTTCAATTTGTGCTTTGTCACCTTTGCCTTTCAAAAGCATGGCGTCATCTTTGGTCACGATGACCTCCCCAACCTTTCCTAAGTCATGGGGCTGAACATCTTCAAGATTGAGGGTCAACCCCTCTTCTCCGAACACCTACAAAAACATTTAAAGTGAGAGTTAACAGGTCACATCATCTTCCGTTACACCAGACTTCTTAACGTATCACGCAGGTGTTTTGACCAAAGCAGTATCTTGAAATGCTGCGTTTCTTTGAAAGGAGAGATTCGGGCCACTCTCAGTCCAGAAAAAGATCTCAGCAGTCATTCATCACATTTCTAATGTGTCACCCACCACAGCTCTGCCATTAGCAGCAGCTCGGAGAAGCCAAACACCCAGGCCACACTTACGGGTAGACCAGCATGAGACCATAGGCCTGTTGTTAACCTTTTGTCCTTTCTATGACACTCTCAAAACTGCAGACAGACCTGACTTGGGCCAGACTCAAGGCAAGTCAGAGAGAGAACTTAATTGAACCCACCTGCTGAACATTCAGCAGTAAGTCACAGCACCTTCCACCCACACTCGAGACTCCTCAGCCAGTGACACTGTGGAGCCTGGTCACAGACCACTGCACTTACCGCACCTCCGGTAGCAATAGCCATGTCTTTCAGCTGGTTCTTCCTGTTGTCACCAAACCCTGGAGCTTTGACTGCAACAACCTGAAGACCAACCTTTAGCCTGCAAAGAACAGCTGATGGTAAGACTCACTGGAGTGCAAGCACCTCGCTTAGTGCAGGAGTACTAAGACTTTTTAGGACTCCTGCCTTTTCCCATTCCTTAAAAACTTTTGGTCAAATTAAGACAGAAAAGGGGCATAGTGGCACACGCTGCTAATCCCAGCACTGAGGGCCGAGGCACAGAATTGCTGTGAGTTTGAGGCCAGCCTAGGCTACAAAGTGAACTCAAGGCCAGCCTGAACTGCATAGAGACCCTGTCTCAGAAGAGAAAAGAAAAGAAAAAGTGACATACCTTTTTAAGTTATCAATAACAGGCACTAACACTGACTAGCCTACCTTAAAAAAAGCTACACAAACACCAAAGACTCTGAGGTACCACTCAAAAACCTGAGGCCCAAGGGCCCCTGGACATGTGCATCATTCACTGCGGTACTAGACACACACAAGTGGGTCCGATGGGGAGGTGTTCGGTCTAGATCTCAGAGGGTAGCACTGTGCAATCCTGTTCTGCAGTAGAAATGTAACCTGTCACCTGTTCAAAACCAGGGTACTGAGAGCTTCTCCGTCCACGTCCTCAGCGATTATGACCAAGGGCTTTCGGTGAGCATTGGCGATTTCAAGAGCAGGTACAATGGACTGGACGCTGGAGATTTTCTTCTCGCTCAGTAGAACATAGGCATCCTGGAATTCACACTTCTGGCCTGCAACATGAGGAAATCAATGCACTAGACTTACATGAAAAGCTACACTGAAGTTCTAAAATACCTTCAAAGTGCTTTCCTCTTTATTGCACATAACTTTCAGAATATACCGAATATGTTTTGAGAGGCATACTACCAACTAATATCAATGGTAACCAAGTGTGGTTTTTTTTGTGTGTGTGTGTCTGAGACAGGATCTTTCTATGCAGTTCAGGCTGGCTTTGAGCTCGCTTTGTAGCCCAGGCTGGTCTCCAACTCGAAATGATCTTCCTGCCTTAGCCTTCCGGGCACTGGGTTTATAGGCATGAGCCCCCATGCCTGGCTAGTGTGGTGTATCTTTAAAAAAAAAAACTTACTGATTTGCTCTTACCTTTTGATGTGTTAATAAAGTAAGGAGAAATATATCCTCGATCAAACTTCATGCCTTCAATAATTTCCAATTCATCATTCAGGGTTTTTCCATCCTACAAAAAGTCAAAAAAGAGGTAAATGGATTTCATGGAAAAATACTCAAAATTTGGAATTCTAGACCAAATAATAAGAGACACCCTCCCCCGACACCACCAGGATAAGGGATTCAGGAAAAACATGCAACTGCCCCAGAGAATCCAAGCCTACTTTTGGAAAAAAGTTCTAAATGATTCTTCTATCCAGAATAGATGGTATAGAGTAGATGCATTCCAGGAAGCCAAGGCTCCCAGCTCACATCAGCCGGAGTTTTGGAGTTTTCCCACTTGGAAAACACAGTTCTGATCACTAGAAGCAACCTCACAGGCTGCTGCAGTGGGGCACTCGTGAAGCTGAGGTGATGCGGCCAGGAGGCAGCCTGGACTGCACAGCAGGGAAAAGCCCCACACTTGCCTTCACTGTGATGACGCCCTTCCGGCCCACCTTCTTCATGGCGTCAGATATGATGTTGCCAATTTCTTTGTCTCCATTTGCAGAAATTGTAGCAACCTGAAATAGTTAAGTAATGCTTCCAAATTAAACAGTAGAGCTAGTTTCCACAACTCCCTCTTTTCCAGCAAACTCAAATGGATACCAGAAAGTAGATACTATAATTTTGTTCAGTTCTTTTTCTGCAGGCTGGACCTTGCACCTAGGGCCTTGTGTGTGTGGGACAAGCGCTCTTCGGCCGAGCTGCACCCCAGCCCTCCAGTTCCTCTCCAGTGCATTAGGGCGCCTGTCCAGCACATACAAGCCCTAGAGAACACACAGCCGCAGACAGCGGAGATCATCTTCGCACATACACAAACCTATTCATATCCTCAAAAATGACAACTCATTAAAATGCAAATTACAAGGTGAGCTTAGCAGCAGCACATGTCTGTAATCCCAGCACTCAGGATGTTAAGCATGGGATCGCAAGTCTCAGAACTCTCAAGTTATGATCACCAAATTTGTTGATAATGCTTCAGCAGTAAGAAAAATGCTCCCAAGGTCAGTGACTGTTCCACCATCAGAGTGCAATTAAGAGGCTATCACAGAGCTATTAATTTACAGAAAAGATAAAAGAAAGGTCCTCACCTGAGCAATTTCTTCAGGGGTCGTCACGGGTTTGGACTGTTTCTTGAGCTCAGCAATCACAGCATCAACGGCTAGCATCACACCTAGTTCAAAATTAAGTACAAGCGCTGACTCACCAGATACTGTAACCCTCAGCATCAAGTATAGTTTCTGTACCCGTGCTGCCTTACTCGCACAGGCAGCAGTCACTAACCAGCTTTACACGGCCAGGCCCACAGCATGGGTGATCAGGAAACTGGCTCAGCAAAGGTAGACATGTAGTCAGTCTCACCCTTCAACACATGCCACATAGATCACTCTTCACCCATTCATGTCTGCTTTCAATAGGGTTGTGCCATACCTCTTTTTTTTTTTTTTTTTGAGACGGGGTCTTGCTATGCAGTTCGGGGAGGCCTTGAGCTCACTTTGTAGCCCAGGCTGGTCTCAAACATGCAATGAACGATCCTCCTGCCTCAGCCTCCTGAGTGCTGGGATTACAGGTGTGAGCCACCATGCCTGTGCCATACCTCTTACCCCCATTAAGTAACACAAAAAGGACCAAAACAGTAACACCCTTACTTCCAATGAAAAATACAATGCCTGACACTCAAGTTTCTCAGAGCTGTGAGAACATGAAGAGATGCTCCTACCTCTCCTGATCTCCACAGGATTTGCGCCTTTGCTGATCTTCTCAAAGCCTTCTTTAGCGATAGAGCGCGCCAGGACAGTGGCTGTGGTGGTGCCATCCCCTGCCTCTTCATTTGTGTTGTTGGCAACATCTTGAACGAGTTTAGCCCCAATATTTTTGTATTTGTCCTTTAAATCAATTGACTTTGCAACAGTCACACCATCTTTTGTTACTTTGGGACTTCCCCAGCTCTGTTCAATAATCACTGTTCTTCCCTATAAATGTAGAAGAAAAGTATCAGGACCACACACTAAAGAGGTATGGTGGTGCATGCCTATGGAGGCTGGGCTACAAAGTGAGTTCAAGACCAGCCTGAACTACAGTGAAATCCTGTCCCAAAAAGACCCCTCCACACACACAAAAGATTAGATTAAAAAAAAAAAAAGCAGTCTTCAGTAATAACACAACTTGTGCCGCCCCCCCCCGCCCAAAGTACTGAGGAATGAACCCTGGGCCTTAGCACTGAGCTACATTCCAGCTCCTCTTTTCAGTTTTAAGACACTGTCAATAACATGCCCAAGCTGATTTTCAGTTTGTAATCCTCCTGCCTCTGTTTCCCCAGACTGAGATTACAGGTGTGGGCCACAAGGCCCAGCTTAGTTTTTTTGGAACAGTCTCACTAAGTAGTCCAGATTGGCCTTGAGCTCTCAGCAGTCCTCCTGCCTCAGTCGTCCCAGTGCTGGGAATACAGGCATGTGTCACCATGCCTGGCATTAAGTAATCTTTTTATCAGTTCTGCAACATGAATCTCAATTTTGAATTTATAATCCTCTTGCCTCTGCCTCCCAAGATACTGAGATTATAGGAATGGGCCATTATTAAATTGTCATCAGTCCCGCTACATAAATCTCAAGAGCAGTTGGTCAACATTCTAGACAAAATGACCTTGTTTCTCTGCCAATAACACCAAATGAGATGTCTATCACAGAATATGAGAATCCTAAAGGGTAAAAGATACCAATTATGACATACTAGAAAATTCCAGAACAATCTTTACATCATTTATATTTATTTTGGCTGATGCCTATTATTTTTGAAAGTAACATTTTTTTTTTCATGTGGGACAGTTGATCTTGAGCCTGCAGGGAGCAAGCCAGCAGAGATCTCTCCAAATCCTCATTCTTTGCCTCCAGTTCTTACATGTCCAAAGACGGAACAAAGGACATGCCTTTGTAGGAGGGTGGAAAGTAACAGAATTTGCTCTAAAATTTATTCTAGGAGGCTAAGGCAGGAGGATCACAAATCTGAACTTGGGCTGAGCAACTGAGTAAGACTGGTTCAACAAGGGGGCTAGGGACATAGCTCAGCATGAAGGGTCTACGTTCAATCCCTTTGAACCGTAACTAATCTACTAATTGAAACACTAACCACTACAAGAACAGGGGAATTTTTCCAGGTTCTCACAAAGTAAGATTTTGAATATGGCACAATTTACATCGAGTTCTTTTGGATTTGACCCAAGCCACTTTCTACTCCTGAGCTGTGCAAACAGTATTTTTTAGATCACTTCAATACTTCAATTTGAAAGGAACCATCACTTGGCCATAACTACCTTCAAAGGCTGGCCTGGGCCACACAGTAAGACCTTGTCTAAAGAAACAAAAAAAGCCACCTGCAAGTATTACCCCTGCCTAGCATAGCCATGCTTTGGTATAGAAAAACGGCAGGGAAACACGGTATAAAACTAGTGCGCATCACAGGGAAGTGGATGCTCCTTTCTCACTACACAATGTTGCTGTTTTCCAAGTGCACATGAGAAAAGTGCTGGAGATGTGCTGTGGTGAAGGTTGTGCAAGCACAAATGCACTCAATGCCACTCAAGTGTACACTTGAAAATGAACACTCCGAGCTGGAAACTCAGCAGGAGAACCATTAACTAACATACACAAGCTCTAGGTTCAATTCCCTGTAGTGTCAACAACAAAAAAGGATATTTTATACTGTTAGTATATTTAGCGTAATGTTGTAAATTTTATATGCAGTGTATGTTAACTGTATTTCAGTAGAAAAAGCAAAAACACCTACAGGAAAACACTTGAAGTATTATGAGACATTAAGTTAAACTTGTCTCTTCACTCGGTACTGGGAAAGGATCCAGACTTTAAATCAAGTAGAAGAGGAAGAATCCATCTTATACGATTAGTTAACACCTGATTACATCACACATTATACTAAAATAGTTTCAAAAGCCATGGCTGAAGCAGCTCAAGTTTCAAGGCAATCAAGTGTAAGACCATCAGATCTAAGAAAAACCAAACACGAAGCTATCTGTAAATGGATGCTCAAGTACCGGTCCACAATTCAGTGTGACCGCTGTCCCCCCACCCCAGGGGGGGGTGGGTTCACGCTCGGTGGTAGTGCTCCCTTAGCACGCTTGAGGCCCTGGGTTCAAGGCCCAGCATCGCAAGGCAAAGCCCCTCAAACTCCTTAGTTAATATGTAATTATGAAAGGACTGGTACCTTTGGCCCCATTGTAACGGCGACGGCATCGGCCAGGAGGTCCACACCCTGAAGCATGAGGGCGCGGGCGTCCGCACCGAATTTCACGTCTTTGGCATAAGCCCGAGTAAGCTGCGGGGCCAGCGCGTGAGACACTGGCCTCACCTGGCGGAGGACCGCGGGTAGCCGGAGCATTTCTGCGGGGAAACAAGCAATGATCATCAGCACGGCCGCATGTCGCAGCGCACACGTGTCCTCTGTGTCTTGCCCGGGGACCTCGATCGGGGCCACAGCGTGGGGCCTGCACAACCAGTGCAGGCCAGGCGGAGGCAGCCATCTCCCAACCAGCGGGGACACGCAGCTCCACCGCCCGCTCCGGTTTCTCTGTCACCCCAGAAACGTCCTGGGGCACAGGCACGCCAGGAGTGCCCCCGGGTAAACAGTAGCAGAGGGGCGAGCTGCGAACCGGGTGGTTGGGGAGCATCAGGGTGCAGTTCCAGCGGTACAATGCCCGCAGGTACTAAGCGGAGCGCCCCGATCCCCGCGGCCCGGGCCTGGGCAAGGTCACGCGCGGGGACAGAGCGGCCCCTCCGCCCGGGCGCGGCTCCCGCCCCAGGGCCACCGCGGAGCCCAGATTGCCGCCCGCACGGTGCGCCAGCCTGGCCGCGACAGACCGCAGGCCTGGAGGCCGCACGCTCAGAACTCGGTCCCCGGCGTCCACAGAAGGAGGCCGCCCCGGGGTCGGGGAGAGGCCGCGTACCTGCGGGGCGACGGCGGAGCGCACGCGGTGAGGAAGGCCTTCGGCGGCGAGTGAGGACTGAGTACAGAGCGCGCGCGGCAATGAGCGCAAGTCCCCGCCCTCACCGCGGCCCCGCGTGCGCGCCGGCCGGCCCGGCCCCGCCCCCGGCCCGGCAATCTGCCTGCGCCGCGCGCGTGCCCCGCCCCCTGCTGCACCACCGCTCACGGCCCGTGGGCTCTGCGCTCTCCTGACACTTTACGCTAGTTCCGGGGCCTCGCTCGGTTCCAGAACTTTCCAGATATCCCGCGCGCTCCTTGGTTCAAGGGTCACGTTACGTCACTTCCGGGCAGGGACGAAGGGGTACTTCTTTCACCTCTGCCGACAGGCCTAGAACAGCCTAGAAAGAGGGCCTCTTTCCGTCTGGCCCCGCTCCCGCAGCCGCGGCCAATCCTGGCGCCCGAAGATGAGGGCGTGGCTGGGGCGTGGCCTGGCGGGAGCGAGCACGCATGCGCGCTGTGTGGCCTTTTCACGTGTCCGTAGGCCAGAGTGCGGGTTTCTCTTTGCGGCGGCGGCGCGTTAGCGGAGCTAGCTGAGCTGGGGGCTGGAGCCATGGTGAGTCCCGCGGGCCTGACGGCCGGACAGCGCAAGCTGGGGACCTTGAAACAGGCTGCTCTGTGTCCGGGACCTCTAGGCTCTGCAAAATGGGACGAGCCACACCGCCTCTTCCTCCCGGGTGCGGTTCCCACGCGGAGCCAAGACGCGCGAGCCCCAGCGGTCTGCAGGATTTGGGGTGCGATGTCCTGGAGAAAGCATGGTCCCGAGCAGAGGTCCAGCCCCAGGGTTTCCTGCAAATTACCAGAATCTCCAGGAAGGAAAATACTTGACCTTGGGTAAATCCCGCCTGCCCTTAAACGGAGTCTTGATTGTAGTAACAGACGTATGGAGTGGAAATCGCACCTGCCGGCGCGGACTCCTCCCCCGAACGGATACTCTGAGTTCGCTGTTAGTGATGAAAGCCAAAACGTGTTGTGTATAACAGTTGTATAGCATTGGCTATTAAAGATGAATTGCATAGTGTGGTCTGACCTCAACATTTCTCTTCACAGGCAGGCCAGGCATTTCGGAAGTTTCTCCCGCTGTTTGACCGAGTATTGGTTGAAAGAAGCGCAGCTGAAACTGTCACCAAAGGTGGCATTATGCTTCCAGAAAAATCTCAAGGCAAAGTACTGCAGGCAACTGTGGTAGCCGTGGGATCGGGCTCAAAGGGAAAGGTAAGGATTGCTGTGGGATTAATTTTTTGTGTGAAATAGAAGAAAAAATCGTGGGTTATTAAAAGTGGCCTTATATTTAGGATGAAATTTAAAGTGAAATTGCACTTTAAGGATAATAGTTGTAAAATTAACTTGCTTTAGATGGTGAGGATTTCTAGAATTTTAAAATTACTATCCGTAACTATTTGGTCACCTGTCATTTTCTCAGAAGAGTTATGCTTAAAGTGGTGTGGCTTGGTAATAATATAATTGGCCCCCAACTGTGGTTTAACCACAGTACTGAACTTGGCTCCAGCCTTGTAGCCAGGGAGCCCTTATTTGGCATCTTTATGGCAGAAGCAGGTGGAACTGTCCTGTAGGTCTTCTCCAAATCTGCCAAAATGCAGAATAAATGAATGCTGTATTTGTATTTTTAGGTCAAATAGAAGTCAAATGACCATTTTGTGTATGATTTTAATAGCTGCTTTATTTCAGCAATCCTAAGTTAATATCCTACACTTACAAAGTTAGTTTTGGTTAGCTAACTATAGTTTTCCACTATACTATTTTGGTTCTTAATACTGCGATCAGGTTTTAGTTTAAGCCACTGTATGTTCATTATTTCAAATTGCAATTCTATGGTGATGTTTTTGTTGTGAAGAATGGTTAATATCACTTAACAGTGAATACCTTTACAGCATCCTGGATTTGAGTGGCAGTACTTCATTAGTGGTAGGGGTTTACAAGTTAGTTACTTATGGATGTGTACTAATGTCTTTACTAATAAATTTCCTTATTTTCTTAAGGGTGGGGAGATCCAACCAGTTAGTGTGAAAGTTGGAGATAAGGTTCTTCTTCCAGAATATGGAGGCACCAAAGTAGTTCTAGATGACAAGGTATGTACACTTAACTAACTCACTCTGAAGAGAAGTTGAACATTTGTTATTGCCTGCCTTTACTAATAGTTTCTGTATTTGTAGGATTATTTCTTATTTAGAGACGGCGACATTCTTGGAAAATACGTAGAGTGAAGTAAGTCACTGTTGAAATGGTGTCACACAGCGCTGCCCATTCCACTGAAGTTCTGCAGTCTTTCATCATGTAAATAATTTCCATGTCTTTTATAATAAACTTATGATATCTAAACTGATGACATCCACGATCTCTAAAGTTTAGTTTCACTGTACTGGTATAAATACTTCCAAATAAAATATGTAAATGAGTGGTTAATGTTTATTAATTTAAAATGACTTTAGACCTCTCAGTATTTCAACTAATCTGAAGAGAATTTTGGGAAGTACGAGTTTAGGTAAATGAATTTTCACATTGAAAAATATCTATTGCATAAATGATTGATATTGATACAAAGCTACAGATTAGATTGAGAGTTTTAGGGAAATAAAGTTAGTAACATTCTGGCTTCAATTGTAACAAACTTGCAGAATACAGTTTTTGTAGTCTTCTTTTGTGTGTTTCTAAAGTTCTATATTTAGAAAAGTTTTCTTCTTACATGGAATACTTCCAGTTTTCTGGGGTAGGGTGGGCATGCATTGTTGGGTTTTGAACTGAGCTTTACCACCCTGACCTTGATTTTTGTTTTGAGACAATGTCCTGCTCAGTTTTCCAAGATGGCTGAAACTTGTGATTCTTCAGCCTCACAGAGTACTATGGTGTACACCAGACTTCCCAGCCAACATTTCCAGTTTTTGGCACTACAACATATTGGCAGAAAATTCAAAGCAAGACGTGCCAT